TTATTAAATATTTTTAAAATTAAGTTGTTAAATTTAAATACGTTGAAAACAAACTGGACTTAGTATCCCGTCCCTTTCATCGGGTCCGTAAGTTTTGGTGCATAAGTTCAACATGTTTATACGTATTTAAATTTAATAACCTTAATTTTAATTTTCCACAAATAATATTTAACTAAATTATTTTGAAATTTTTATTTTTAACTATACAACATGTTTTTTTACTAAGCAAATATTTCCAAACTTAAGCGTTAAATTTAATATGTTGAAAACAAACCGACTTAGCATCCCGTTCCTTCTTTCGGGTATGTAAGTTTTGGTGTACAAGTTTCAACATGTAAAATGTATTTATTTATTTTCTTTCACAAATCAGATTATACGTAAAATATTTTGATGGTTTACAAAAAAAAAAAAACAGTAAATTAGTTTGATATTTTAACTGAATTTTTTAATTTTACTATATAACATGTTTTTTACTAACGAAATATTTTTAAACTTAAATTTTAGATTTAAAAATGTTTTAAAAAATTGGATGTAGCATTTCGTCCCTTATTCCGGGTCCGTGATTATTTTTAAATTTTCCTATTTTATTTAAAAACATACTTAAAATTGTATAACCCCTTATTTTAGTATCGACTCAACCACTTAGAATCTTATTAACATATGAGAAAGCCTAAATTTTTTGCATAGTTCAGTAATCCATCCATCGGATCCCTATATTTTATATAGGAGAATTCTCTTAAATACCACTAATATTTGGAAATACCATTATGAGTTTTATTTTTCAAAAATACCACTAAAGTACATTTTTCCAAAATACCACAAAATTAAACCAATAATTTCAACATTCAAAGGGGAGTTTCAAAAATATCCACTTTCAAACTTTATCAAAATCTACTAGAAATGTTTAAAATTTAACCTTTCGATTTGTGCCGTGCGTGAATCTTCACATATTCTTTGAACAAGTTTCATAATTCTCCTTGCACAACCCTAACTCCACATTTGTTATCTCCATTTTCTTTCGAAAAGATTTCCTATCTCACTCATCCCTTTGGAGCCTTCTTTTTGAGGGTTCTACTTCTATGTGTGAACCTACATATTCACCCCTTCTTAATAGGCATGACCAAAAGCTAACCTTAACCGTATTTCTAACCGTAACCGGACCGTAACCGTTTAAACCGGTTAAAAATCTTAACCGTTAACCGTATAAATAAATTAGTTACGGTTATAAAAAAACACTAACCGTAACCGTTAATTAACCGTAACCGTAATAAACCGCCGGTTAACCATACGGTTTTAATCTTTAAAATAAATTATAAATATAATTGTATACAATGAAAAAATACATCTAATATTTGGATAAGATTTTCACCTTATTAAAAGCAATACAACAAGTTAAACTTGTGAATAATCATAATATTTTATACTAAACTATTTTAATCTTATTTTTTTGTGCATTTGATGTTGAGTTTCTCGGTTTCGATCCAATACCCTGATTTCGAGAACCTCCAACAAAACTTGTCAATGCAATACTCACTGTCCAAACTCGTTCGAGATGATAAAGAATCAGAAGATATTGATGATAGTGATGTATCTTCAACGAGATCAGAAGAAGATAGTGACTAAATTTTTTTAATTAGCTTACCAATTTTTTTTTAAATAGATTTTAATAAACATCATCTATATTATTAAACAAAGGTTTTTGTTACTTAATTTTTCTAAATAAAACATTATTTTAAATGGTTTATTGTGTCTTCTAATAAATCTAACCGATTTTAAAATTTTATTTTTCATTAACCAAAATCATTGATTTTGTATTTAAGCAACAACTCATAATTATTTAACAAATTTACTATAAATATTTGAATCACATCTATTTTATTTGTAAAATAAATATTATCTCATATATTATTTTATTATTATTATAAAAGTTAGAATTATATAATTTTTCCTCTAATATTAACATTATAATAATAATCAAATAACCGTAATTGTATTTAACCGTAACCGTAATTAACCATAACCGTATATAACCGTAACCGTCTTAACCGTATATATAATGGTTAAGATTATGGTTAAAGAAAATCATAACCGTTAACCGGTGGTTAATTAACCGTAACCGCATTAACCGTAACTGTGGTCATGCCTACTTCTTACCTTAATCAATAAAATTAGAGCAATATGCCACGTCATATTATAATAATAAAAAATCAAAACTAAAATGAGTAAAAATAAACCAAATTAAAGAAACAAAATTTATAGACTTTTTATTAAGAAAAATTAGATGTCGGCTTCGTTATATAAAAGACGGATTAGAGTCTATATTTTACAATCAAACGAAATTATATCTCGGTTTGAGTTTTTATATAAAAAGATTAGGGTTTATTTTTTATAAATAAACGTAATTCTATTTTGGTTTGGATTTATAAATAAACATTAGGGTTTAGGTTTCACAAATAAACAAAATTATTTATCGGTTTGGGTTTATAAAAGAGAATTAGGGTTTAGATATTACAATTAAACAAATTTAAATGTCTGTTTGAGTTTATAAAGTAGGATTAGAGTTTAGATTTTATAATTAAAACGAAAGTCTATATCGGTTTGGGTTTATAAAGGAGGATTCTAGTTTAGATTTAACAATTAAAACGAAATTATATATCGGTTTGAGTTTATAAAAAAGTGGTTAGATTTCAGATTTTACAACTAAAACAAAAGTGTATACGATTGGGGTTTGTAAAAAAGTAGTTATATATATATATATAGATTTTATTTTTATAAGTTTTTTATTTTATTTTTATATAATATGACGTGGCGCATATTACTTTGATTTTATTGTTTAAAGGAGTAAATATATAGGTTCACCCCTAGTATTGCCTATTACCTATTTCTTTTGATTTCGGCTCCTAGGGTTTTTTGCCTCGTGAAGATGACAAAAAACAAAAAAATTGAGATCGTTGAGGAATTAGTGAAGACAAGATTAGTGAGTTGCCCCAAGATTTGCTTGTAAGGATATTGAGTCTTGTCCCAATAAAATGTTGGAACTACATTTTGACACAATGGCTTCTGCCACTTTTCCGGTGACGTCCGTCGTCGGAATGACCGGATGTTGGAATCTTTGAATTCCTTGTAATAAGCACTATAAGTTAGTGTACTTACTTGTCAAAATTGAAGTTATAATGAATGAGAAATAGATCTCCAAAGTGGTTAGAGTAAAAGCATTTTATAAAAAATATGTGCATTTGTCCCACATTGGAAGATTGGAAAATTTTCCCACTAGTATATATAGTGCTACACTTATATCAAGGTTCACTAGCTATGGGAAATGGAGACTATGGTGCATGAGATGATGGACCGTTATGCAAAACACACACATGCGCGCGCGCCGTGCCGAGCCGGGCTGGGCTTGGGCTTGGTCTTGGGTCTTGGCAAATGGGCCCCAGGGCCCAGTCAAAACTATTCAAGAATGTTTCTTTTTGGAAATTTTTTTTATGATTCATACATTACATTTATGTGGTGATGTTTCATAATAATTTCCTAAAAATAATGTGCATAATAAAATGAATTCGAAAATTCGAAATTGGTTATGATGAAGGACATTCCCTGGTTGTCGATACTCCGAGATTAGTGGACTTTCACATCTATAGTTTTGTCGCGGCTTGAAATCTTTATTTGGAAAGATTATGTAGGAACAGAAGGAGAGGAACAATTCTTGAGATACGTCTTAGCCAACTCTAAGTGTTTAAATATTGCGACAATCGATATGCAAGACACCTTGAAAAGAAATCATGAAGAGCGACATTTGATGATGGAGAAGTTGAAAGATATTCATAGGGCTTCAACAACATCTCAGCTACTGTTCGAATATATTTCAGTCTATTAAACAACATCTCAACTCCAGCTAATGTGGAAGCTTAACCTTTCTAACTCTTGTAAACTTGACTAGTTGATTTTCATATCCTTTTTCGCTTATTGAAAACATTAGTTTTGCAAAAAGTAAATTTTAATTTTTGATAGAAGTTCGTTGGAAGATTGAGCCATTAAGCTCTAGTAAAAGTACAAAAACCAAAATTTCTCTTTACTGTTATGTACAGTAATTGTGAGTTTTATTAATTTTTTGGCAAGGTAGTTAATTATTAGGTGTAACTTTTGATTAGCTTAATTATTTTTCTGGATCGATTTATTGAAGACACTAGGTTTTAACCTGCGGTGCACTGCGGAGACGATTTTTCAATTTTTTTTTTATATTTTGACTTAACCCGTAAAAGATTTTAAATATAGACAATCCGTAAGAGAAATATAATCATATTTATGTAAACTCAAACCCGTCAATCATATTCATGTACAATGTTATTATTATATATTTATTTTTATTAGAGTTAAAATATTAATAATTCTTTAATTTTTATTTGGATGCTGAGAAATCAAATTTCCTGCTCATTTTTAGTTGAGAGCATATTAGTCATATTTATAATGATTTTCAAATATAATCTGAAAATATTTTATCTTATGTAGACGTTGTACATACGTTATTTTCTTTTACCGAATGAGTAATATACATCCGTTTTCAAAAATTTTAATTGCAAAATATGCGAAATTGTTTTGTCTTTTGCATTATACATATGTTTTATATAATAAAATAAATTAAAAATAAATAAGATTATATAAATATATTGGAGAGAGATTCGATTTATAAGAGAGAGATTAGGAAATTTTTCTGATATAATAAATATTTGTTTCAAATTTTGCTATTTGCTTGTGATATAATTACAAAATTTACTTTTAAGTTTTGTTATCTATTCAAATGACAAAGGTTTATTTATGTAAATATTACAAAATAAAAATTTATAACCCAAAATAGATTTTTGTACAAGATGTAGGTCAAAAATGTTAAAGATAGATAGATTTTAGTAAAAAATGTTAAGATAGATTTAAGTACCGGTTACGAATAAGCCTATTACATATTTCTTTGGCTTTTCGGCAACTAGGGTTTTTGCCTCGTGAAGATGACAGAAGACAAAAAAATTGCGATCGTTGAAGAGACAATTTGTAAAGACAAGATTAGTGAGTTACCCGAAGATTTGCTTGTAAGGATATTGAGTCTTGTCCCAATAAAAGACGCAGTGGCTACCATGTTTCTGTCGAAACGATGGCTCTCTATTTGGACAATGATACCAACACTTGAGTACAAAGACAACGATGTTCAAGATTATGCTGATTTCAACGATGACAATGTCTATGACGCTGCCGTATGGTACAAGGAAATGAAAAACACCGTTTGGAATCTTCTTGACAAATCGATGCAATTACACAAGGCACCTGTAATAGACAGCTTATGCGTGAAACTCGGTCAATTATGTCCTACTGATGTTGATGTCGTAAAGTGGGTTGCAAACGCTGTTTCTCGCTGCTTACTTGACCTAGAATTCGTGCTCTCCTGGTCTGCAGATCCAACCACCTTGCCTAGTAGCCTTTACTTCTGCGAATCTCTCGTGAAACTGACTCTTTCTCACAAGATTCTTGTGGATGTTCTTTCTCCCGCATGCCTACCATCTCTTAGAGAGCTCAGTCTAGACTGTGTGGTGTATAAAGATGAGGATTCTGTTGTAAGGTTATTATCGGGCTGCCCGGTTCTAAAGAATCTATTCGTGATTCGGAAAAAGACTGCAGACAATGTGAAAAAGTTCACTATAAATGTTCCTTCTTTATTGGAATTATTTTATAGTACTAGTTATGATGAAGATGATGATGAAGAACATGCCTTGGTTATCAATACTCCGAGATTAGAGGAATTTAGCATCCATGATTCTTTCGGAGACTCTAGCTCGATCGAGAATATGCCTTTTCTCAAGTGTGCATATATCAATCTTGCCTCTTGCACTAATGAAAAGTTTCTAAGGGCGGGTTATTGGGAGAATGACTTTTAAAGATTTTTAGAGTTTAAGATTCTATTGTTATTGGTGTACGGATTATTAGATTCTTAATAAAATCTCTTGTTATTGGTGTATGTATTTTGTAATTCTATTTAAAATCCTTTGTTATTCAAAAAGTTGAGTATTTATTGATTTTCCAATTCTATCAAATTCTAGTGTTATTGGTTTAATGATTCCTTACCTATTTAGTCATTAAAAACAACTTTCAAAATACTGCAATTATCATAAGGATTTGTAAAGTCTATCATATGAAGAATCTATTAAACTCTAAAAATCTGGGTAAACATTATTTTATAATCAACAAATCTTTTTAAGAATCTTAAAATCTCTAAACTTTTGAAATCCACAAACTCTTTTAAAATCAATCTCCCAATAACTCCCCCTAAGTTCTATTTCTTGGGTCTCATCTCTTCAGTTATTTTTGTCTAATGAAATGGTATTATATAGAACTATCTTTTAATTAGTATCCTTCTTAGTTTTTCCTTATGAGTACTGACGTTGTGTGTTTGTTTAGTCGCAGCTTGTGTGTAATAGCACTATCAAATTCTCTGGACTTTTAAAGTTAAGAATATGTCCACGAGAATCAGATTGGTTCGAACCACTCAAATCTTTACTTGAAAACTCACCAAATCTAAAAGAACTATGGGTAGATTTTGTAAGTGTATATATCTTTTCCTCTTCTAGCTTTGTTTTGTGACTTTTAAAACCTATATAAAGTACTCAAAATGTGTTTAAAATATCACCATCGTTGCTTCGCAGGATTGCGGAGACGCCAATGACATTGCAGTTTCATGGAACCAACCAATCCGCACTCCAAGATGCTTGTCTTCGCAGCTCGAAACCTTTAAGTGGAAAGAATATGGAGGAACAGAAGGAGAGGAACAGTTCTTGAGATACGTCTTAGCCAACTCTAAGTGTTTAAATACCGCGATAATCAATCTGCAATACAACTTGAAAAGGAATCGTGAAGAGAAACATATGATGATGGAGAAGTTGAAACATCTTCCTAGGGCTTCAACAACATCTCAGCTATTGTTCGAATATATTTCGCGTATTTAATAAACACAGAACGAAAGCCTAGTTAATGTTGAAGCTTAACCTTATAATATAATCTTTTTCATGCCTTTTGTTTCTTGTTCTTCCTTATTTGCTTCCTTAAGACAAAAAAAAAAGGTGTCGTTGAAGCAACTAATAAGTGTATTATAGTTTCTTAACATAGTGTACTCATATTGCAGACTTGATTAGTTATCCTTTAACCCATATAATTATGTTAAAGCCTCACAAAACCTTTAACAGAAAGAAAAAAAACTCTGATAAATACATTTATTGAAACCTTCTGTATTGAAACCTGAGTTTTATAAGACTTTCGATTTATTTTTTAATCACTGGTTATTCAACTTGTGATTTTTTGTTTAAATCACTTATCTAATCCAGTACTATTGAATTTGAACTTTTTATTAAATCATATTCAAAGTAATCTGGTGTTTTATGATGAGAAACAAAACAGCAAAGTAAGAGAGTAATGTTCTCTTTGTCTTTGTTAAAACAGAGGAACAAAACAACACAAATCAAATAGATAGTGGCACAACAAAAAGAGTTAGAAGAAACTCCCCAAAGAGAAGAGTCTAGATCTTGTTTATAGCCAAAACGTATAAGCCAACATGAGAATACCTATTCCATATATAACTAGGAAGTGGATGTAGAGAGGTCACGTGTTCACCAAGGGACCTTTTTTTTTAACTTGGATTTGCACTTTTCAGCTTAATTTTATAAGCTAACCACATCCATATATAATTCTTAAATCCAAATTTATTACCCAATAGAAGAACAATTATATATATATACGAGTAATAAACTATACCCAGTCCGATCTGAATCCGAAAAAATTTGAACCAAAATCCGAACCAAAAAATTTACATTTATCCTATTAGATCTTAAATTTCTCTATGTGATACACCCAAACCCGAACGGTTCTTACCTGAAACCGGATTCAAGTACCGAACACGAGAGCATACTATAAATATTTTTTTTGCATACTATAAATTATAAAGTTGTTTGCATTGGTAGCAGCACGTGATCAAGATATACCACATGTAGCATCGACATAATCAAAAATTAAATACCAATTAGGACATCGGGTTAAGTGATTTAATCCCGTGATTACAAAGGTCGACTCCATTTGTTGCCTGTTCGTCTGTGCATCCGACACTCGAATGACATCATTACTGGTTTTTAAAAAGTGTAATCTACAACTAATAATAAAGTACGTATAAAACTTTTTCTCACGTTGAATGATACATTAGTCAAATATATTAAATTCACAAACACGTGAGAGCCCAAATATGTGTGAATGCAGAATATTTCTTTTACACCTTATAAAATATAGATATTTTCGTTTACAAAATACTCTAATATTATAGATTTTAGGGTTTATATTTTATTGTAGCATACTATTTTTTTTTTCTGTCAACAATAACTATAGAATTGGCTTATAAAAACCAATTAGAGGAACAATTGTTCACATACTATTTTTATTTGATATATATATATATATATAAATTTATACAAGTTAATAAGGAAAAACTACACTATTTATTTGAAAACTACTATATAATTTGGGATATTATATGAATTTTTCCTTTATTTTGTAATATTTCCAAAACAAATATTTTGTCCACTCCCAGTTTCTTTCAATATCTAACTTATTTTGGTGTATTTGTAGAGTTCAAGTTATATAGGTTCAATCATATAAAATACCAAGCACTAAACAAAATATTGAATTTAAAGTCTTATCTAAAACATTCTCTATGGATACTCATAAGTCATAACCAATCATACACATCGAAATACCCTTAAATTGGGTATAGTTTAAGATATATATATATATATATATATATATATATACACGAATATGTATTTAATGTAAAGTTTAATCAGGTTTACCACACTTAACTAATCCAAGATGCAAGACGCATAAGTCAAGATGGTATCATCCAAAGAATAATGATAAAAAATTTACCAAGTGAAATGCAAGAACTGTGTACATGACAAGACATAGTTTATAACCCAACATAAATCTAAAAAAATAAAGAACATACAGTTTTGTTTTCTAACAAAACTAACATTGAAATACAAATTGTCCATTTCAACCAAACAAACAACAAATTTATCATACCAACACAGTTCGAAATTTCTATCGACTCTATAAGACTATTGGACCAAAAGATAGGCACTAGTGCAATAACTCATACCAATCAAGACAAAGAGTATAAGTGGTAAAATCTAACACAATAATCATCAGTGTACGATGCAAAAATTGAGAATGTGTAAAGTTGAAACCGATCACTAAGGATTCAAAGCACATAACACAGAACAAATAAGTCGATTTAAGCAAAAGACTTAGCCTAATCTGCAACTTGCAGGAGCCTCAGATACGTTCATAATAAATACTTATACATGACACTCATACATGCATCCATTTCATAGAAGAAGAGATCTTATGATACATAAAACAAGAGAGCTTATGGTAGATAATCAAGAAATATCCAATTCATATTTCTGTGTAATTACACCAGTGCGATTCAATAGAGTCCCAAACTCCATCGATTTTGTAAGACTAACTAAGAGACCAAAGGATAGACAACTAGTGCAATACCAGAGATATTCGAATCGTTATATTGTAAGAACATCAAGCCAACAAGTACAAGTGGTACAATCTAACACAATAATCATTAGTGTATAATGCAAAACTCGTGATTGGCACTTCAAATGTTTGAACTGATCACCAAGTATTCAGAGCATTTAACACAAAACAAATCCATTCATGATTCAAGTAAAAAAGTACCACAACCTGCATGAGTCTCTCAGCTACATTCAAAATAAATATGTACATACTTGTCCATTTAATAAAACAAGAGACCTTACGATATTTTCAGTTAGTGTATAGTAACGACTCTAGCCAAGGGGTACAATTTATAAATCTAGCATAGTAATCATCAATTGATAATACATAACTTCAAAATGTGGTTTCGCATGCTTAGACAATCACCAAGGCTTTAGAGCATAATGTATAACAAATACATTCGAGATTCAACAATACTATTACCATAATGTGCATAACTGTCACATACATTTAAAAGAACATATCTACAAACAAACACCGAAACAGAGATAGTAAGTATATTAAACACACAATGTAATGTTCCATTACCAAAGTAAAAACTACATTTTCTCAGTGTATGATGCATAACTCTAGGATGTCATTCACATGTTTTAAAAATCACCCAAGGTTCAGAGTATAACGTTAAACAAATACTTTCAAGATTCAAGTCAACTACAAAAGCACCAAAACAGAGAGAATAAAAAAAAACTTACAACACATTGCACATTCTAACTAAATAGACTATTGATTCAATTGAGTTCCAAACTCCATCGATTTTGTAAGAATAAGAGACCAAAGGATAGAACTAGTGAATAAAAGAGACACTCCAATCAATGTATTGTAAAATTCAAGCCAACAAATAGAAGTGGTAAAATCTAACACATTAATCATCAATGTATAATGCAAAGTTTGAGAATGTCAATTCACATGTTTGATCTGAGCATAACACAAAACAAGTTCATTCATGATTCAAGTAAACTACAGTAGGAGTCTCACCTATGTTGGAACTGAGCATAACACAAAACAAGTCTCAGCTATGTTCAAAATAAATATGTACAAGAGACTTGTACATGCATCCATTTTATAAAACAAGAGACCTTATGATATTTTCAGTTTGTATAGTAAAGACTCAAGAAAAGGGGTACAAGAAATATCCATTGCATATTAAACGAAATACACCAGTGACAGTGATTTAATAGAATTTCAAGTAGATATACCAGTGCAATAACATATAAGACTAAGGGACCAAAGGAGATACACTAGTACAATAACATATACATATACATTTCAATCACTATATTGTTAGAAAATCAAGGCAGAGAGTACAAGTAGTCAGATTTTTGATGCAAAAACTGAGAATGTCACTTCACGTGTCTGAACCAATCACCAAGGATTCAAAGCATAACACAAAACAAATCCATTCATGGATTAAGCAAATACTAGCATAAATATATACGTAATACGTACATGAGATTCATACATGCATCCATTTCATTAAAAAGAGACCTTATGATAAATAATAAAGAAATATTCATTGCATATTCTAACTAAATAGACCAGTGATTCAATTAGGTTCCAAGCTCCATGGATTTTGTAAGCTAAGAGATCAAAACATAGGCACTAGTGCAATAAAAGAGATACTCCAATCATTGAATTATAAAGTTCAAGCCAACAACTACAAGTGGTACTAATCATCTGTATAATGCAAAATATGAGAATGTCACTTCACATGTTTGAACTAAACACAACACAAAACAAGTCTATTCATGACTGAAGTAAAATACCACCATAATCTGGAGGAGTCTCAGCTAAGTTCAAAATAAACGTGTACAAAAGACTCGTACATGCATCAATTTTATAAACATGAAATTTCAGTTAGTGTATAGTAAAGACTCAAGACAAGGGATACAATAATGTAGAATATAACACAGCAATCCAAAATGTGGTTTCAACAATTATATAGTTGATAATGCAGAATTCTAAAATGTGGTTTCACATGCTCAGAAGAATCACCAACGGTTTAGAGCATAACACAAAGCAAATACATTTGAGATTCAATAATATTATTACCACAATGTGCAATAGTATCATATACATTTAAAGGAAGTATCTACATGAGACCAATACAAAGATAATGAGTATTTTTAATACACAATGTAACGTTCCAGTAGCCAAAGTAAATTCTACTCATGTGTATGATGCAAAATTCATTCAAGGAAGCTACAATCATAATCTATAGAAATTGACTAATCATAATCATAATAAGATTCCACAGTTGACTAATAATCCTAAGAAAGAATGCATCCATTATATAGAATAAGAGACATGATGATGCATAAGCACTAAAACAGAGAGAATAAAAACTTATCACAAACTGTAATGTTCGAGATAAGCATATATATTACCTGGTCATAAACTCTACTAAACGTAGAATATCAACATCTTTTGAAGTACTTACCAGAAAAAATCAAAATAGTCTATAAATCATGTATGTGTCTCTCACTTATGATTTTCAAAACTGTATCAACTTAAAACTAAGAGGTTTGAAAAGCATATACCTGTCAAAGAAGTCTGTTATACACTTGAAATCTACTCAAAATCTCCACAGCCTGAGCACCTTCGGAAGCACATACCTGAAAAAAAAAACAGAATTTGTTAGTTTTCGTTTTAAGTGAATGTCATATACTTACCTCATTCGTTTATATTATGTAGTACCAAGTTTAATCTCGCTGCATATTCTTTTTCAAGTATCTTGTTCTTTCAACTTTTATAAGTCGTTGGGCTAAACTTTTTCAAGTCTTTGGTCTAAAAGTTCTCAGCTCAATGTCTTGTTTTGAGACTTCTTTAATCTGCTCGTTTTTACCATCCAACAACTCTCATTCTTCCTTAATCCGTTGGTCGTTTTTACCATCCAACAAATCACATTCTCGTTTTGAGACTTCTTTAATCTGCTGGTCGTTTTTACCATCCAACAAATCACATTCTTCCTTAATCTGCTGCTCTCATTCTTCCTTAATCTGTTGGTCGTTTTTACCATCCAACAACACTCTCATTCTTCCTTAATCTGCTGGTCGTTTTTACCATCCAACAACTCTCTTTCTTCCTTAATCTGTTGGTCGTTTTTACCATCCAACAAATCACATCCTTGTATTAAGACTTCCTTAATCTGTTGGTCGTTTTTACCATCCAACAACTATCATTCTTCCTTAATCTGCTGGTCGTTTTTACCATCCAACAACTCTCATTCTCGTTTTGAGACTTCTCTAATCTGTTGGTCATTTTTACCATCCAACAAATCACATTCTCGTTTTGAGACTTCTTTAATCTACCATCCAACAAATCACATTCTCGTTTTGAGACTTCTTTAATCTGGCTGGTCGTTTTTACCATCCAACAAATCACATTCTTGTACTAAAGCTTCTTTCGTATGTTGGTCGTTTTTACCATCCAACAACTCACAACTGATCTCCTTACATGCATGCACTACCCATCCAAATAGATCTGACTTAGTGAGAACTCTTTGGTTCTTTTATGTCTTAATATCAAAGTCTTTTAGACTCTTTATCTTATGATTGGGGCAAGCCGAGGGTACCAAGAGAACACTTTGGTTCTTTTATGTCTTAATATTTAAAGTCTTTTAGACTCTTTATCTCATGATTGGAGCAAGCCGAGGGTACCAAGAGAACTCTTTAGTTCTTTCATGCCTTTGTCTTAATATTCAAAGTCTTTTAGACTCTTTATCTCATGATTGGAGCAAGCCGAGGGTACCAAGAGAACTCTTTGGTTCTTTTATGTCTTAATATCAAAGTCTTTTGACTCTTATGATCCGAGCAAGCCGAGGGTACCAAACTGAACTCTTTGGTTCTGTCATGCCTTTGTCTTAATATTCAAAGTCTTTTAGACTCTTTATCTCATGATTGGAGCAAGCCGAGGGTACCAAGAGAACTCTTTGGTTCTTTTATGTCTTAATATCAAAGTCTTTTGTCTCTTATGATCCGAGCAAGCCGAGGGTACCAAACTGAACTCTTTGGTTCTGTCATGCCTTTGTCTTAATATTCAAAGTCTTTTATACTCTTTATCTCATGACTGGAGCAAGCCGAGGGTACCAAGAGAACTCTTTGGTTCTTTTATGTCTTAATATTTAAAGTCTTTTAGACTCTTTATCTCATGATTGGAGCA